ATCTACCGTGATGTTACATTTAGTAGCGATGATTATCCTTAACCAGCGGAGTCAGGGAATCAACCGTGGGCACCTCTTACGCGGTGGTCGTCTGTTCTGTGCCTAGCAGACGTCAAAGCGAGAGTGTGCTCGCAGGCGGGAAGAGCGAGTCCGCCACACGGCGCATGCGCGGAGTTTCGGACGGCGCCTGCTATGGGGCGCTGAAGGTACGGGGCGGCCGCCGCTGCCGTGTTATAGCTAACAGTGTCCACGATTGTACATGAAGACACCCCACACCCAGTATTGTGCCCGCTATCGAAAATAAGTGACGAAATAGAGTTACGCGTTAGTTCGTCAAAAGATATCGCGTTGCTCAGATTCGTTACCGGCTTGTAAATGTAACGAAATACAGTTACATAACGTTACGTTAATTTGGAGTTAATTATTATTTGGCAGCGATAAGGGGCAGATGCCAACTCGGACAGCGACTAAACTGTTGAGCGATTTCATAATATGTGCTTTTTTTTTTTTTTTTTTTTTTTTTTTTTTTAATTTATGGAATGAAGCGAGGTCCGGATGGCCCGTTTGCCATTTGGAGGGACCGAAAACGTTAATAATTTTAATCGAAGGCAACGAGTGGCGTAATTTGATAGACGATACCGTAAACTAGTAACGAAATCGCTTCATTCGTTCGTCATTTCAGGCGGTAACAAGCACGTTAGTATACGTTGCCGAGAAATCTAACGCGTTACCAGTAACTTCGTTACTTCCAAGTTCCAACACTGCATGCACCCGACGGATGATCACCCAGGAGTCGGGAAAGTGCACTGGGAAAGCGTGACGAGGCTTCGATAATGGCTCCTCGCATCGTCGCTTGACGTCAGGGCGAGCTGCCGTCAGTGTCACGTGGTCACGATGGCGGGTTCGTCGAAGTCGGACGATCGAACGCGCCCCCTTCGTCGGCGTACGTAGTGGGGGACGGAGTCCACGTTCCTGTTGCCGGGCGACTGGAAGGCCCTTGAAAGGCGATACGACTGTCGCTTGGTCAGGGCGCTAGAGCTACGCTAAGGTCTTTGTTCTTTTCTTTTCCCTGCGGGTGTAGTGCGTGCTCGCTTGGCGAGCGACTCGGGATTTTGCTTCGCGCGGATTCATGTTGTTGCCTTCTTTTGTTTTGTAATCACTCGCACTGTTCGCGACCGGTGACCTTTCCGCGTTTTTGTTATTGTTTTAGCTCTCTCTCAACTCTGCCGTCGTCGTTGGGCTTTCTCATTCTTTTCGTTGTTTACCAAACTTGCGTGACGCACTGCTCTTCTTCCTTTTTTTTTTTGGTGTGTGTGTGTGTGTGTGTGGGAGGGGGGAGTGAGTGATTGATTGAGTGAGTGAGTGATTGAATGAGTGAGTGAGTGGATTTAAGGTAGAGAGCGGATAAGAGGACGGCAGCTGCTAGAGTCTCTGTTTGCGTGGCTCCGCCGCCGCCGCCCTGTGGGCTGTCTTCGTTCGTTGTTGAATGACTAAGGCGGATCGGTGGCTGTTCGAATTTTCCATTTCTGCCAGTTTCGATTTGGGTGAGCGTCGTACTGACGTCTGGTCGTGTGTCGAGTGACGCGCGTTAAAGACCCCGAACTAGCGGTCGTACCGCAGTGGCTAAATTTATCGTCTACGGTAGAGACACCGGACGACCACCGGGGGGGGCCGACCAACATCCCGTTGTCTATAAACATACACGCAACATAAGTGTTTTTGCGAACGCGTACATTGCGCGGCACGGCCAGCGCAAACACAACATTAGCGTCTTTTTTTTTTTCTAGATATTTATTTTACGAAATAGTGGTGATCGTAAAATTGTTTCACCTAAGTCGTGCGATAATACTACAGTCTTATTTTTGGCGATGACGAAGGCAGCGATTCGGGTTGCCGCGTCTCAATGCGGGGAGGTCCGTGTCGCTGGAGCGGCAACGTCAAGACGCTGGGAAAAACGGCCCCGTGCATTGCGTAGCATCAGCGCATTTACGCTGGCCAAGATAAGGCTTTATTAGGGAATTGTAGTAGACCGTTTCCGCAGCCCGCTAAGCACCCGGATAGCGCTCCGTAATCTGCCGCAAGACCTTGAACTATGCGGCGAAGGCTGGTGACGCGCATGCGCAGTTGCGGCGTTTTCTTCGGGGATACCGTAGCGGAGGAGAAAAACGATCTACTACAACTCCCTATTTATCACCTTAGCTCGGGGCTCCGTGAATGGTTTTTGAAGGGTGAAATACGACATCGAAAGGCGGAACTGTATTTCCGAGGCTGCAGTTGCATACAGGCCTAATTCTAATTCACAGTATCATCTTCCGCATTTTTTTTTTCTTTTGTAAGTTTTTTTTTTTTTTTTTTGTGTTTTGTCGGGAGAGTACGAAATGGTGTCCTAGCTCCTCGGATGGGTCGTATTTTTGTTTGTTTTTGCCCCACAAGACTCGTAAAGGACAGGGGTCAAGTGGGCTCTTGCGTGCTCGTTTGTGCACCTGGGTTAGCGCGTACGAGGGTGGAAAAAAATCGTAATGGTCAACATGGCTGATGGATCGATCATGAATAATTCGTGTTGTCACTGAGAACAATGCGGAAGAGTTACTGTAAATGTAAAGTACAGTTTACTTAACTTTTTTTTTTATTCTAGTCCCCGCCATGCTAAAACAAAAATGACTTCGCGTTTTGTTTTTGTTTTAATAAAAATATTTTCTGCGTTTTGACTCGACGGCAATAGGATATTCCTCTTCTATGGTCGGTGACGGTAGGAGCTTCCACTTCTGATTTTGTGGCAGTAGGACGATACGAAAATTTCGAACGAACTGGAAGGCAGAAATCAAGCTTAGCGCTCCGATTTGCCCGGTTTGTCTGTTTGCTTGTGTTCAGCCTATAGAAATCTTCCTTGCCCGACAATTATTTAATGTAAACAGAAAAAAAAAACCACATAAGAAAAAAAATTAAATGATAAAAAAACTATAATTAAAAATTATATATTTTGGGAGATTTCTGTTTGGGGGGGTGATTTAAATCATCGCAGTAAAACTGATCTGATCTAAATCACGATATATTTAACGTTAATTTTGATTCTCCACCCTGGCGCGTACGTTTCGCTGCCGCCCGGTTTCTCGATCGAGGAACGAACTCTCCCCAATACCTAGAAAGCAAGGCCGCAGTGCCTGTGGTGCTACGTCATCTCTCGGAGGCCAGAGAGTGGGTCGCAGTTGTACGCGAGTGCTGTATCAGCGTTCGTGCAAACCCCGTGCAACTCAACCTGGCAAAAGAAAAAAAAACAAAACAAAAACGAATCTTAACTGGGCGTTGGCGCAGCACTCCTATCCAACCTGTGTCCCGCTCTCCGGCCTCCAAGAGGTGACGTAGGACCTCCTACACCACGGCCTTGCTAGGCATACTCGTCGTCGATTGCAGAAGGTTATTAATTTGCCCCTTCATGCGTTAAGATACAAGTAGGCGCATCAAAAGCATCGTTTCTTCCTTCTACAACCAAATATTGTAAGAACTACTTTACTCAGCGCACCCATAACACGATTTTTTATATGGAAGGTGTTGCTCTCGCCACAACAAAGGATGTTTCCATTCTGAAGCAGTGCGCCGACAAGAAAGGAAAGAGCCCAATTAAACCCGATAAGGGGACGTCTCGATTGGGACGGCCCAATAAAACAACGTCCCCCGGTGTGGCAAGGATGGGATAAACAAAACCTCGTTGGTCGTGTCACGTGGTTGAAGGGGATGTTCGCGCACGAAGGCTGCTTTTTACATTGGGAGTGCGTAGAGCCCGCTTGTAACCGCGCTTACGATTAGAGAGAGCCTCGATTGTAGAGAGGATTCCACCTGTGACCATGGGTAGCGTTTACAATGTAATGGCGGGACGCTTCCTGCGGAGATTGGTGGCAGGTGCGCGTGCGCTGCGTTTAATTGTTTCGAGCCCACAATCAAAAAATGGTGGGTACAAAAAAAAAAATACTATAAATATATGTACGCAGATAAGGGGTGCTCCAGGTCTGCCATATACATGGCACCAGAGTGTTTGTTCTATCGCCGTGGGTGGCTACGAGCGAGTGCAACCAGTAGCCCTTAGAAGACGAGGCCCAGGAGTGACGTCACCGTTTGTGGGTCTCCGACCCGCCCCGAGCGGCAAACAGGCTGCGCGACGCTAGGACGCGTCTGCTTCTTTGCGACTACTCCCGTCAGACTGTAGCCTGTTTGTCGCTTGGGGCGAGGCGGAGACCCACTAAGGATGACGTCATGCCCAGGCCTTTTTGGTCTTTAAGTGATACTGGTCTACGGCCTTGACTGGAACGGAAATGTGCGAACCGGCCTTGACTCCAGCCGAAATGAGAGAATGGATCAGATAAGGAAAGCGATTTTTGTGGTCAGCCGTTCTTATTTCTGCGTCGTTCTTGTCGCGACGTGACTTCATCGTTCCTGCCTGCCCCGGTGATAAGTACTCTACCCGTGCGCGCGCGAATGTGTTATGTGTATGTACCCACTTTATCTCGGGAGTTTCCGTGCAGCGCCGCCAAGGGCACGTGCTTAACAACGTATAGATTTTTTTTTTTTTTTTATTACGACGTGTTTTATCAAACAAGTTGCGAGAGAAACCGTCATAAACAGTCACGAGGAACCGTCATAAAGGACAAAGGCTGGGGTCAGTGAGCGTCGTGTGGCGTGACTCAGGACTTGTTGACACTCGACAACGCAAACGAAGGTGCACGGTTAGTTCACAGCTGTTTGGCAGGCGACGTAGCTCTGCTGCCTTCCGCGTCTCTCCGAAGCCGCGCCTTCAGACAACAGAGCAATCTGGGTTTGCTTCCTTTAGAACGCGAGTCTGCTTTAAAACAGTTTCCCTCGAGTTTGCTTTCTTTTCTGCTTCGGTCTCGACTTCGCAATAATTACGACTTTAATGATCGAGCAGTGCATTTTCATCACGGACAGAGTCTGTCGCGGTCTCGAATGATGAAGCCCGTCGCTATACATCTTCCTAATCTTCTGCGCAGGTTACCCCAGCGTCTGCACCGCTCCCAGTTCGACGGCCAACTCGCTGTCTCCGCTGGGCACACGGTCAGCGCAGTCGCCCGACAGCGGAGGCACCGGCGGCCCCGCCGGCGCCGCCGCGTCCCTCCAACAACACAATGGCGGTCCGATGACTCTGGTCGCCGTCACCGAAGCCATGACGCCGTCTTCGCCCCGCAACGGGGTGTCACCGGCCGACTCGGCGCCGACGTCATCCACCAGGCCGAGGCAGTCTCCGCCCGTCTCCGCCACCGGGCACAAGAAGACGTCGCGCCACGCGCCGCCGCCGCCAGGGGCAGTGAGCGGCGCTGGCGTCGCCAGCGCGCCGGATGCCGACACGGGCGCCATATCGGCGCCCACGTCATCTTCGTCATCCGCGGGCGAAAGTTCGTCTGCCGCCGCCGCCGCCACCCTCAAGTGCACGCTGTGTCAAGAGCGGCTCGAAGACACCCACTTCGTGCAGTGTCCGTCCGTGGGCCAGCACAAGTTTTGCTTCCCTTGCTCGAGGGACAGCATCAAGAGTCAGGGCGCGTCGAGCGGGAGCGAGGTCTACTGTCCGAGCGGCGAGAAGTGTCCCCTCGTCGGCTCGTCGGTGCCCTGGGCCTTCATGCAGGGCGAAATTGCGACCATCCTGGGCGACGAGTACAAGCTCGCCAAGGGAGCCGACACCTAAGCCGCCCGTGGGGGGCGGTTGGAAGGCCCCGTTGCTCTCTGGTTACGTTTTTGTCTCGCTGTGGTTGCAGCACTAGCAGCCTCACACCCCCTGCCAACCATTGCTTGCTTCTCCGTTTCCCCGATAGGAGGAGGGGGAGGAGGATGGCGGTTGGCAACCGTTGTCCAGTGGTTTCCGGTCCGCGTGTTTTTGTCCCCTCGGAGGGGGCGTCCACCATGCACGACGAAAAAGAGTTCAACCTCGTCTCTTGTACCTCCCCGTCTGTGGACTGCTGTCGCGCGGCGGGCCAAGTTGTTTCCGTCGAGCTGTTGAAGGGTTCTCCGGGCGCGACTTGCGAGGAAGCCGGGAGTGCCCGAAAGCGTCGATCGCGTTGGTGACCGGTGGTGGCTTTTGGCCGATGGTCCATTTTGTCGGTTGCAGGAGTGGACTTTGGGGAACTGCTTCTGTACGCCGCCGCTGGTCAAGATGTCGCGCTCCCGTGCTGTGCCCCGGTGGAGCTTGTGTGTCGTCCGAGACCCACCTTGTAAATAATAATAATAAAAAACAAAAAAGTCCACGAAACGCCGCTTGATGCTTGTGTTGGTTTGGTATATTGACTGAGCTGTCAGTTCAGTAATCCTAAAGGCACTTCACTGAAGTGCATGACATGGGTGGAGGGAGGTCTTGTACATTAACAGAGGGTTGACAAATAGCAGTTCTGACAAAGAAACGCTGCACCTGGAGTAAAAATTCTTTTCTACCTAATTCAAACAAAAATGTTTGTAAAAAATTGTTTGGCCCATATTTATGCTACAATACGAATTTTTAGATTTGCGGACGAAACCGGAATTTTACCCCTGTGGAATGATAGCGTTTGTGCCCAACTATACCTGTTTTCACCTCAAGAACCATAGTAAAAAAAGTCCGGCTTCTCGCAGAGCATTACTGATTTCCTCCTTTATGTAAAGAATTGAGATATAGGTAGGTGATTTGTAGATTAGTTTTATGTTGTCTTATCAAGACGTACACGTTCCAAACGCCAAAAGCATCGCTTTTTCCTCCGACAACCAAATCTCGTAAGAACTACTTCGTGCCGCGTATGAACAATGCGCAAAACTTGCTTTTTTTCTTGAGGTGAGAACGGGTATAGAGTGCTCTCCAATTGCCGCCGTCGCTTATAGATGGCGCCACCTTTCCAGCCTTTCCACCCTGGCTTGCCGACTTACGGCCGGCCGTTACTTCATTCCCACCATAGCACAGCTTCGCTGGTCTTCCCTCTTGACCACAGTGGAAAGGCTGAAAGTTTTTTTGTTAAGGGGCCTTCCAGCCGCTTTTTGAGCTACCCAAACAAATTGCATTTCCTGAATACCCGGACTTTCTTCTTCATGGTATGCTACTTATTCGTATTGTCTCGAAATTCAAAATAGCTGTTGGGGAAAACGTAAATGAAGATGCCGTAACCAACATTCAAATTTCCGCGCGCTCTACAGTGGTGTGATATCAGAAATGGTGCAGACTTATAGGTCGCGCTGGTAGTCTTAAACAAAGTATGTCTTGATTATAAATTTATAATGCAATTAAATGCAAAGGTGCAAGCGAGCTGGACAAGAATGATGAAAGTATTCCCTGGAGAAGGGGAACAAGAGGGACAAAGGACAAACAGATCTCCAAATACAGCTAGGTGATTGGTGCGTGACCAAAAAAATCCGCCTGGTTTTTTTGTGTTTCCGAGCATTCGTTATCACCATCCAACGTCTTGTAATCAGTAGGGAGCGTGCTTCCAGTGATTTCCTTACACAGCCCCCTTGTTTTTCCGAAGGCACCGGTCCACCTTAATTCGCAACGACTCTAATCTCAATCTCCCCCCCCCCCCCCCCCCCCCCCTTTTATGTAAATTCCTGGGGGAACCCCTGCGTGCTTCACTGCCGACGGTGTACCATTTCTGTCGTCACACTTCAGTATTGCCGGTTTGGGAAATACGATAAAGACGAAATTCGGAAATTCAATGCTTTGCGATTTTCTTTTCCTTTCACACAATACTTGGGGGACTAGTACAGCCGTTTCAATCGGTCTGTTGAGCCAATTTTGAGGCAAATCAGCGATCATAAAGAGTCGCTGGAGTACCCCTTTGATGGTGAGCACGAGGCATTATACAGGCCAAGAAACAAGTAAAACAAGTGATATACAATAAGCCTTTTGATTAATGAAAAACACTAGAAAATCTTTGTAAAGATCACCGAATTTAGCTTGATTAGTTTCGAGTACAACTATTTCAGGAAGAGAATTCCAGTCAGTAAGACTAGTTTAGGAAGATAATTGCGGTTTGAGTGGTTCTTGTTGCACAGCTGGCTTTGGGGGGGTCGGTATAATAGCACTGCGGTGACTGAACTGGTCTTTGACTGGTCTGTTTAGCTTCATCTACCGCGCATGCGCCGAAAGAACCTAAAGTGCGGTGATGGAAGTGCTGCGGCATTTGCCCTATGAACCAAAGTCTGCTACATCTTGCGCCAAAATTCCATCTTAGCTAAGAATTGCACCACACCTGCGCCGAGATGAGCTAAAAGGGGCACTGACACCCCAGGTCGTAAGTTTTTTTTTTTTTTTTTTGTCTAAAACGATGCAAAAAAAAAAAAAACAGCGCAGAAAAAAGTTTTACGCTCGCAAGCGCCTTTTCATTTTTTTTTTTTTTGCGTTCTTCGCTTCTTTTTTTCACCTCTTCGCTTCTTTTTATTTGTAACGTAATCGATTATGAAATTTAGAAGCTTTGTAAGCGACATTTCTATAATATTTAATAACGGCATTCGTAAAACATGCTTTTTACGTTATTGCGAACGCGCTACGGCCATTCTCTTTGAAATACGGGAAAAATGATTCCGGAGTGATGTCGCCTCCTAGCTTTTTATCCTCCCTCGGAAAACAAGCCGGCGCTCGGCGCATGAAGCACTGACGATGATCGGTGAGTCGGGGAATCGGAAGAAGTTATCTTTTTCAGGTGCCGATGACCTCTCAAATTTCAAAAAGGGAAATCGGTAAACGCTCAGAGCAACTGGGTTTGGTGTCTGAGTACCGTACTTTCGGTTGTGACTCCGCCGGGACAGCCTTTCACGCAGGAGCGGCACGACGTGGCCCCTCACGTCGCTCACAAAAGTCCACAGCGCGTTCTCTTCGACATCACACGGTTTTAAAGAATTTGAGATCGCTGAAAGGGCCCTAAAAGAACTTCTAACTCGAAAGTGAAGCGTCGTCTGCTCAAAGCAATAGGCGACCGGCATAGAGAAGGGCGTTTGATCGCGGGACGCCGGCGAACAAGACACTTCGGGTCGGGACGGCTCGGAGGCGTGAGAGAAACTTGAGTTGCAGGACGACTCAATCTTTGACGTCACTGCTCTAGCGTGAATCGCGCGGCAACTTCAAATTCGACTTTTGGATTTTTTTTTCTTTTCTTACATACTGAGTCTCCAAGTTTAAAAGTTTTAAGGTAATGTCCAGGCATCGATTTCAATCGTTTCGGATAATAATAAAAAAAATTATTATTGGCGAAAATAATTCCTGAAGAAGGGGAACAAGTGGGACAAAAGACAAGCACAAATCTCCAAAAACTGCTAGGTGACTGGTGCGCGACCGAAAAAATCCGCCTGGTCCGAGTATCGAACCCAGAACCTCTCCATTTTCAGTGGTTGATTCTAATATTTAGAGGCGTAGAAGAATAGGAAAATGGTACAAATATGTATTCCACAGCGTCTCTAATCATCTAATCGTCGTAGTTTATTTAATCTTATGTAAGCCAGTGGCGTATGGCCAGGAATTTTTTGGGGGGAGAGAGAGAGAGGGGCGGGAACGCTGAGGTGGTTGTGATGTTCATAACTTGGGGTGCACAAGGGGGAGGAGGCGTCAAAATGCATGTGTATATTATTGGGTCGACTGGATTTCAAGGGGGGAGGGGGGGGGGGGGGCTGAAGCCCCATTAGGCTCTCCCCCTGACTACGCCACTGGTAAGAGCACGATCGAAGGCTGGAATACACACAACCCCCAACACACTAAAAGCCTAACTCGCGGAGCATTCGCTGCGTTTGATCGGTTTACTAAGAACTCGCCGAGTGAGATGACGAATGTCATGATGTTGCACTTTTGACGCTGTTTGATGGGTTCCATTGGCTGGTGTCGTCTGCTCATTGACTAAGGTGAAGTACAGACTGGTGGTCAACCGAACTCGCCCCGTCATCGTCCGAATTTCCAGACGACGTCGGCGATGTCAGGAGCTAGAAGTCGCGAGAAAAATATACCCAATAGTAGGGTGGCGGCTACCGTAATAAGACAGAGCGAGGGCATTTTACTCCCGATGAGGTCACTTGATTATCAAGTCTGCCACACGCCTCCGTGCCGTGGCTACACAATTTACCGTGGCCATGGTGTAAAATATAGTAGGGCACTTGCGCGAGGACCAATGAGACGCGATCGACTAGATAAAGTCCTCTCACGAGCGCGTGCGTTGCCATGGCATCAGACGAGCACGAGCTCCTTGCTCAAGGATCAGCGACAACTGCACGAGAGATGCCATAACAAGATATTTTCTTTCTCTCTCTCTCTGTGTGTGCGTGTGCGTGTGTGTGTGTGTGTGTGTGTGCGTGTGAGTGTGTGTGTGTGTGTGTGTGTGTGTTTTCACAGTTGGCGTCGTTTTGTCAGTGAGCGACACTAGTTCGCCGCGGGCTGTTGGGCTCGCCCATGCGCTCGTGAGAGGACTTTATCTGGTAGCTCCGCCTTGGGCAGAGTCCTCACCTAAAGAGTACACATCTTACACCGTGACCGTGGCACTTGTGCCCGATCGCATCACCTTCACCGCCTCACACCAGCGCGCGCGCGTCGAGCTTCACCGCTTTGCACCGGAGTGCTAGGAGCAGCGGCTGACCAGGAGGGGGCGCCTGGGTCAGCGCGATAGGCTCGGAAATGAGGCTCAGTACTGTTTCAGGTTTACCTTCTTTCGTCTTAATTGTAGGTTAACCTCTCATTAAAAAAAAAAAAAAAGAGAAGAAACTGGCCAAAAAAGGAAGAAAAACCGTGGATCTTTGAATAAATACGGTATAGTCAAAGTAATATTCGTGCCGCAGTCAATCGAAAGGGCAGCGAACTTCGACTGAACTCAGGCTGCAACACCGCTAAACCGCAGGGCCACATTTTAAACCGCCACTGTATAAGTTTTCATCATATTTCTGGGTGATCCTTTCCGCGATTTATGATATAGGAATCGTGAGCTTGGTAAATTCGGAGAACTTGAGGGGGGGGGGGCGTATTTTTTTGTTGACAAAGTTAACGGTTATGCTGATTTTCTTTTTTTTTGCTGGCATTTGGCGGGAATGATATTTGCAGGCAAAATGAGTTATCGAGCGTAAACGCGGGAAGGGGGAGATGCTTTATTTCAACTGAAATGTCACTCTTTGCTTCATTTTACAACAATGTTTTTTTGTAATACTACTTGTAAACGGAACTTGCTTTGGCCTTAGGCGTATTTCTAAAAAGAAGGCTCTCTGTTCCATTTAGAAATAGCAATGACTCGTTCAGCTTCATGCGATGAGCAAACCCACGGC